CTCATCCAACTCACCATGCAAGAAAGCAGTTTTAACATCCAATTGTTCTATCTCAAATCTGTTGAACTACAATTGCTAGCATGAGTCTAATTGTTTTAAATTTAACTACTGGAGAAAATATTTCAGTGAAATCAATACCTGCTCTTTGAGTGTAGCCTTAGCCACTAACCTTGCTTTGAATCTTGGTGGGTCAGATCATTTATCCCTTCTTTCAGTTTGTACAACCATCTGCATTCAACCAATTCTGATTCTTTGGCTTTGGAACACCGTGTCCAGGTTTTGAGTGCAATGACTCCATCTCTTCCTCCTAGCAGCCAACCAATCTCTTCTATCCCTTGAACTCAGTGCTTCATCATAGGTATTTGGTTCTGATCGATGTATTTCTGCCCCAGCTAGGAGTGCTGTAAAATTAGGTCAGCATAGCTGTACCTTGCAGGGGGTCTGATTTCCCTTCTGACTCTGTCCCTGGCTAACTGATATTGGGCTAGGTTTTCCTGCTGATCCTCTTAGCATTGTCAGTAGGGTCATCTGACCCCTCTGCTCTTGATTGTGTTGCGGTTGATCTCCAACAGGGTCAGGATCATTTGTTGGGTGTATTGATAGGGTTAGTTTCAGGCTCCACCTCAAACTGAATTGTCCCAGTTTGTCCTGAGGTTTAGACTCTTCTTGTGAGCTACCTGCACTGTTAGTACCAGATTGCAAGGAAAAACGTTTCATTGAAAATCACATCCCTAATAACAATTACCTGACCCCTAGGGATCCCTTTCCCACAGCCTAAGCCCTTTGTTTCCTCTTGATATCCTAAGAAGACACACTTAGGGATCTTGGTTCTAACTTTCCATCTCTGGTATGTGCATATGTGCACATCCAAAGACCCTTAGGTGTTCAAGAGATGGTCTCCTTTCAGACACTTCTCTTCAGGGCACTTAAGTCTATTGAGCTAGAAGGGCTTTATTATAAGGTAAGCTGCTGTGCCTAAGGCTTCCCCCAAAAAGTTTTTGGTAGACCAGCTGTGAATAAGAGACATCTAACCTTTCAAGGAGGGTTCTGTTCATTCTCTCAACAACTCCATTTTGCTGAGGGGTTCCCCTAACAGTCCTTGCCTCAAGATTCCCTCTTCTACACAATAAGAGTCAAACTCCTGATTACAGAATTCCAGGCCATTATCAGTCCTAAAGGTTTTACCTTCCTGTTAACTTGGTTTTCAACCAGGTTTTCCAGCCTTTAAACTGGTTAAGGCTTCTCTTTAGACCTAAGTAGGTACACCCTACACTTTCTGCTATAGTCATCACAATGGAGAGGAAAACAATTCCCTCCATGTGTTCTAACCCTTTCAGGACCCCACAGATCTGCATGAACATAGTCTAACCCTTTTCAGCCAGATGAGTCCCCTTTTGGAAACTCATTCTGTGCTGTTTCCCAACACACAAACTTCACAGAAAGTAAATCAGATATTGATTCCTTACCAAAGTACCCATGTTGGCTTAACACTGTCATACCTTTTTGGCCGATATGGCAAAGTCTCAAATGCATTTCTCTGCAGCAGTCAGATATGTAGATGATATTGCAGATTTACAGTGAGTGCACAATGTTGACCACACAGAATGTACAGCCATTTTGTTTGACCCCTTCAAGTAGTATTTCATTGTTCTTGTACACCACTAGGATCCCTTTTCTGCCTTATAACTACATCCAGCTTATCCAAAGTTCCCAAGGAAACCAGGTTTCTTTTGAGGTCAGGTATATCCTCACTCTGGTTAACATTATGATTTTGCCATTATTCAACCTAATGGTTATGTTTCTATGCCTGAACCTTACAAGAGTGATTATTGCCCATGAAGACAGTTTCTAACTCTCCCTTCCTAAAGTTCTGAAACCATTGGATGTTGGGATCATATGAAAAGTGCACCCTGAATCTAGGACCCATTCCTTACTGCTAGCATGGTTTGAGATAGTGGGGCTTCTGAAACCTCAATGCCAATGCTAGTGCTAGCTAGGTTACTCTCTGTATTTTGCTGTTTTTGTTTCTTTATCAATCATAGCAGTTCTTCTTAAGGTGGCCAGGTTTATTACAGTGGAAACACTTCCTAGTTTCCCTTAGACTTGTTATTCTTCCCTTTTTCTTAGACCTAGGGTTTATGTGTTGTTGAAAATTCTTATTGCTATCCCTTCCTAATTGACCTGGATCTGATCTACCTTTGACAAACAGGTTATTGCCATTCCTTTTCTGTATTTTCAACTCCAATTCCTCGAATTTAAGACCTGCTATAATCAGGTCACACTGGGAAACTGTCAGTGTATTGTAAAGCATTCTTCACCACTAAGTACTCATCAGGCAGTGAATTTAACATATCATTGCCAGAGGAGTCACTCAACTCCTGATCTGTACCTCAATACTAATGTCATCTTAGAAAATCATCAAGGTTTTCTTCTATGACTTAGTAACATCCACTTATAGAAAATAAGGCTCCTTTAAGAAATGCTAAGTTGGTGGCAGACTGTAAGGAATAAAGGGATTCGAGTTTACCCCAGAGTGTGAGTGGCGTTTCCATGCCATCAACCTTTCGCAGGACTGCATCGGACGATTCATTATGATAAGATTGTAGGCCTCCTCATCCACTTCTGCTTTCTTTTTCAGTTTTCTTCAGACCACTTGGGCATCCTTTTCTAGGGCAAGCCCGACTTTATTTTGCGAAAGAAGGGCTTTCATCTTCTTTTTCCATGTATTAAAATCGATCTCCCATCATATTGGGTGATCTCCATACAGAAGTGCTCATTGTATGTAGTACAGGACAGGACAGTCAAAGGGTACGTGGCGTTGTTATACCAGAATTCGCCAATTGCCAAGCAGTTTTTAAGGCAGTTACTGGTGTTCCAGCCTAAATACCCTTAAACTGTATCACAAAGGCAAGAACCAACAAGACTGAAGTGACAAGACTACAGCCCCTTAGACAATACCCAGATTTCTCTTCTGACTGTGTTTGTGACTCAGACTAACCAATTCGACCTGATTAAGGACTATTCGACAACCCTAAAGCCCTATAAGCCTTTAATCCGAAAAACCCCCAAATCTGACAAACCCTAATTTTAGAATTTTTACGAATTGCTCGATCCCTTGTGTTTGTAACTAATCTACGAATTAGCCCCAAGACTTAGCAAGATCTGAAGTCCTAACGGTCTAGAATCTTGAAATCGAAAAAAACCCCCAAATTGACAACCCTAATTTTAGAATTTGTACGAAGACCAACGATTTCTACCCTAAATCCCTTAGAAATTGTCAGCTCTGATACCACGTTATAACCAAGCCAATAAGCAAATTCGCAACACAAACAACACACACAAGGTTAAAGATCAAGAGAATCACACACAACAACACAAGGCACAATTTTTACCGTGGTTCGTCTATCCAATCTTGGATAGACTACATCCACGTTGAGCTCCGAAATATGGAAGCCCAGAGCCTAATAAGATATTCAAACATACACGAAGAACAAGACTACAAATCTGCCTTAAACAGACTAACACCCACCACGGCCTAATCACTCAAGAACCTCTCTAATCTGCAAGAAAACAGAGGACAAATACCAGCCTCTAGAAGGAAACGCAACCCTTCCACTCAACCCAGATTAACCCAGAAAGATTCAGCAACAACCCTAGCCCGAGTGTTATCCCTCTTTTCAAACCCAATGCACCGATTAACAAAAAACACGCGTTCTACTTTTTGTATCACTGTTGCTCTTCTTTATATACGGTTGCATCAGCAATTCTCAGCCCTGGATCTGTCTTGATCTGATGGCTGAAACTTGATAGTGGTCTTAAACAAAACGACCCCGTTTTGACTTGAATATACTTAAGTGAAAAGGCTCCGTTTTTGGCTTCACAATACTTTCAATAATAGACACAAACCATTATTAAGAAATTTGGCTCTTAGCGTAGAGTTTCAAAGTCTTACCTCTTTGGTTTTGACGAGTGGGTTGCCCGATGGATATATTTGAGCTAAGAAACGACCAATTGGTGGCAACTGGCAGCTAAAACGAATGGTGTCATGCATGGTGACACAACCAGTATCGATCATGTTGAAATTGTACGTGTTGTGTTCCTAGTAAGCTACTGAATCAACTCATGGCAGCTCACCGCTCACGAAGGATATGAAAGAGAAGGTGGCAACTGGCTTGCTACTAAATTTTCTTTAATTAACCGGCAGTCAACTGAAGCTCTTTGAAATGGCGTAGAGACATTAAAGAAGTACCGATTTGTGTTTTTTTTTTTTTGTTTTTGGCAGTGTTCAACGCATTTAATAGAAATAGGAGGTGGAAGTAACCTGTACAGTAAAATCAATAAATTGTTTTAAGTGGATGCACATGCACTATGTAGATACTTTTAATACTGATGTCTCAAAAAGATTATCGGAACTTCAGCGCGGCGTCTAATTAGTAATGCGTTCAGCGGAGTTTAATTAATTAGTAAGTATCCCGAATTATAAGGTTTATTATCGAATTTACTGGATAGACATGTACTTAATATGTGTAAATATTAAATTTTTTTTTTTTAAAGATATGTAAACTCTTTTCGAAGATAAAGTTATTCATTCAAATTATCTATATTGTAATTAGTTTTGGATATGATGTGATGAAAATGTAAGGTAAGAAATAATCAAACAATCCATACTACACACTCATAAATCAATATGGCATTATTTAGATTCACACTTGTAATTCTAATTTATAAAGTAATCGAGAATTCTTAATTAGGATAAGCTGATGGACTGAAATAGTAAAATTTATTACTGCAAGCAAACATAACATTTACAAAGTACGTAAAAGCTACATGGACTATTACGTACTTAGCGGGGTCAACTTCATGAGATTACACCCTGCCTAGTTCACGCCTTGCATGGAGAAACACTGCATGAACGAAGTTTTATTCTTAGTTTCATTATATAGTTTTCCCACTAGTACATGGATTAGTGGTTAATGAGGTTGAGTTTCATGGCTTTATTTTCAGTTGCCGCCACCTCCACTGCCTCCAGACCAGCCACCACCATGCCCTCCTCCATGGCCGCCACCGCCATGCCCTCCTCCATGTCCACCACCGCCATGCCCTCCTCCATGTCCGCCACCTCCACCTCCACCGCCACCGCCATGTCCTCCTCCATGTCCGCCACTACCATACCATCCTCCGTTTCCGCCATCAGGATTCTTCATATCATTTACCTGATCTGCTGCTGCACAATCAAAATGAGCTTGTAAATTTTGCTAGGAATTAATCAATATTTTCGAAGAGTTAATGTGTATAAGCTATCTTATAATACGCTACTAACAATTTTGAGGCATGGCATCAGAGTTCATGAGTTTAGCCTCCTCAGGTGATGAACAACACCTTCCGCATTGATGGCCGTACCAACCGCAACAGCCATATTTTCCGCAGTGGTACTTGGAATCATCTACTTTCTTCGTTTCCTTTTCTACATCCACTGCACCAGTTAAAATCATAAGAGTTCAACCTTCAAATTCTTGTCATATGAACTAGAATTCTTGTGAGCTTCTATACTTAATTCGTAATATAACACAAAGTTTTTGCTGTGTGAAAAAGAATATACATGATTAACCCAATAGATGTAAGCTTTTTCTTTGGTCATCCAGCAAATTAAGAAAAAAATTTTAAACGGATAAATATTTTAATTAATAAGCTAAGCATTAGTCACAGCCATTAGATGCTAACTGAGATTCTCGAAAATAATTAAGCATATAAATTTTTGTACGTTAACCTACAAGGTCTGGCTTGCAAATTAATACTGTATATAGTAGAAGAAAGAAAAAGAATGAAATATACAAAATAATGTAATGAAGCACATAACATAAATTAATATAAAGTATATATATGCATATAAATATATATGGTTTATGCATTGTTTCATTGCATATATAATCTTAATGTGGGAGAGTACGTATACTATGTATTAAAAGATGGAAAGAAATTCAATGAAGATGATAAGTAAGTAAGATATATATGAAAAAAGAGACGATTTTTATATATGGGAAAAGTAACATCTATACTAACGTTTGTTTCCATCCTTGGTTGTCACGGCTGCCAAGATGGAAGGGGTGGAAAGGAGTACAACTCCAAAAAGAACTAGAAAAAGAAGAGGTGCCCTCATATTGATTTATAGTTGCGAAGATTAAAAAGATATTTGAAGAAGGGATGAGAAACCAAGGGTTGCTTAACCAGTATTTATAGTGCTGAAGTAGCGGCTAGCACGCGAAGCAGTTAAGGGACCGAATCCATTAAAGAGGGTGATGCCGTATAAGGCCTAAAAGTCAAGTGGCTGATGAAGAACTCTGGCTCTTAGCGTAGAGTTTCAAAGTCTTATCTCTCTCTTTGACATAACTCTAGTTACAAATATTATGTAGATACAAATTAAATTACATATGTGGATATTTTTGAGGTGAGAAATATTGACTAAGCGGTGGGAATTGGCAACTTAACGAAAAATATCAGTTCCTTACTAGACCATACTCAACCCACTTATCCACATAAATGATCTGAATCAAAGAAGTTGGCAGCTCGGCTTGTTAAATTATTTCGAGTGGTGACATCTCACAAAAGATGTGGCATAAATCTAGCATTTTCTTTCACTTTTCCTTGTTCTTTCTCTCTATCCAAACAATGGAAGTTCAATTCGAAACTAAGTAATTTAGTGAAGAGATTAAAAAAATTCTTCATAAACATGGTAAAATTTTAATGGGATGAGCATGAGCAAATTTTAATTGGACTCACGAGAAAGCATATTCAGCTCAGTTAGTACTAATTGATATCATCCAATTTCTCTTTATATTAATTAGTATGAAGTGTCATTTTAAAATAGATTCATACAAATAAGAAGATTTTATTGCATGATAGAGATCAAACAATATCGAAAGACAGCAAGAGTAATTAATCAAGGAAATAGACATGCATCCATTCATGTCGTTGTGATCACGCATTAATTTATTAGTGCACCACTTATCTAAATACATTCTTGGATTAGCATATATATGGTGCTTTATTTTAAGGCTTGCCTTAATTAAGTAGTAGCAATCAACGGCCAAGCCTTCTAATTAACAAGTTCCTAACCTTCTGAAAGCTTAGAGCCCCATATTACCCTATTCCAGGGACTCCACCAAAACCACCACCTGGTGGTGGGGTTGGTCCACTACCGCCTGGTGGGAAGAATCCTCCGGGTCCACCAGGTGGGAAGAATCCTCCGGGTCCACCAGGTGGGAAGAATCCTCCGGATCCACCAGGTGGGCCTCCACCAGGTGGGCCTCCACCAGGTGGCCCTCCACCGCATCCACATGGTGGTGGGCCTTGTGGGAATCCACATGGCGGTGGCGGGGGAGGTGGCAACGTTGGGAATGCACATTGTGGCTCGTATCTTCCGTTTCCATCATACTTTGCTTCATCTACTCCATTTGTCCCTGTTGATGATTCCTTAGCTGCAGATGGTTTTAAGTGCACGAATGTTATTTTGAAGTTAATTATTTGACGAGACTTAAAATGCGAAAATAATATTTTAAATAAATTAACCAGTTTCGCTTACTGCTAATCAAATTTGCAAATTATTTACTACACAAGAAATTAAAATTTCTGTTGAGAATATAATAATTTTGTATGAAAAAGAAAAACTATATTTAATGTTAGAAAGTAATGCATGCAATTTTAGATCCGTTCACCATTTTGGAAAATCTTTGCAGGCCATGTGTCAAAATTTGCCAAGATATTTATTAGTTTCTCAGTTTGTGAATGTGCAGGAGAGACAGAAAGCCTAGAGTAATCACGGTCTTAAAAATTTACAAAATTCGGTAAGGGGTCGATTTGTAAACATTAAAACAAAAAAATATAAGGGCCTAATGTTGAAACTTGAATGTGTATTCTCCTATCTTCTAATAAATATATTTCTCTTTGCACACAAATCATTTGAAATTAATCTCTTCTATATTAACAGTTAACATTACAACAATTACGAGTATGATGTATATAATTTTAATGCAGAGTTTTCTGATTCTAAATTTCTAATTAATGCATGTAGATATATAATGCTTCATACTAGACTTAATTTTTTATTGATCGTGGAGTACTCAACGGTCTTTAATACTCATCGAGTCTCCCTCATGTAACATAATATATATAATTTTGATAAGGGTAATGCTACTTGTACGAACTCTTACACAAAGAGAGTTTGTACAAACTGACATAACATGATACAAAGAATGCTATATGACATTGAGACCCACGTAATTTAGTATCATATTAATGTTATGTGGACCTTCATGTCACATGACACTCATATTAGATGTCATGTCATTTTATACAAACTCTTTTTGTACAAAGAGTTTGTACAAATACCTTTATTCTTTTGATAAATTAATATAAATATTTTAGGGTTCGTTTGGTTTGTTATTTTGGATAGGATTTTGAAAATAATATTGGATATTTGAATAGGGTGATTATTACGAGGTAAAATTTAAAATTTAACAAAAAAACCCCATGAGTTTGCTAGTTTAACTAAACACTCCACTATATAAAATTTTTGTAAAATGACAAAAATACCCCCACCCACCCACAGTGCCAGATTCCGGCCACCACCATTGGAATTACCATCTAGTTCAGGTCGTTTGTAGGCCGTTGTGATATATTCTGGCTACCACTAATGGTGGTTTCCGGAATCTAGCAACTGTAGGTGGATAGGGGTGTTTTTATTAATTTTTAAACTTTTTTTCTGAGGGTATTTAATGAAATTAATAAATTTAAAGAGTCTAAAAGTAATTAAAAAAATATAATAGTATTTTCTAAATAATTAAACAAATAAATATTTTGAAAATATGATTGAGAATAGGATATGAAATAATAAACCAAGGCACTCTTATTACATAAGGGACAAAATACAGAACCCAACTAATGAGCTCACCATTTTGCTTCTCAGTGGAAGTCTGAGCCAAGTCTCTAGCCGCCACCTCCGAAGAGATAAGAAGAAGAATAGCCAGTAAAAGACCCGAGAGAAGGAACGCCCTAGAGCCCATTTTCTTAAATAAGAAAGTGAACATCACTATATTAAATAAACATATTGGAGATGAGTGATAAAAGTAGTCTTAGAATCCATATATATAGGCTGATAATGAGAAAAAATAAAGAGAGGATGCATGTGACTGGCCATAAAAAAACATGTTACAGGTAGTTGGCTAGTTGGGGTTGTTTATATTGACAGTGATAATCATGGCTGGAATCACGTAAATATTAGTATATATACTTGTCCAATCAAACTCCCTGTATGATACTTCTAGCCTAAGATCTTTAATTTTTTGTTGCTTGATTTGGTGGGTATTATTCATCACCTCGTGGGGTATCTACCGTATTCGTTACCTGATGAGTCTCCATACGAAAATTCTCAGCTGAGTTTAGATTGAACTCATTAGAAAAAGAAAAAGAAAAAAAAAAAGAACAAAGATTCATGCTCAGAAATGATATATATTGTTATTCATACTCTCATTCAATGTATATTTGAATTCCACTACAGAGTAAGTGATGGTATTATTGCCTCTTAGTTTTGTCTCATCATCGTTTTCTTTCCATCCCAACGGCCAAAACTACAGTAGAAACTAGCTGAGGAATCATTTTCGGAATTCAATTTCCTCATGGGCAGGGAAAATTAAATTTTGATGATGAACTTTGATTGGACTCACGAGAAATCCTGTTGAAGTCGTTAATACTTGGTAAATATGAAATGCCTGAATCATGAGGACACTGAAAAAGTACTGGAATTAGGTCCACCTAGGGAAGACTTCTCTTTATTATATTTTTAGTCGGTTCTTGTTCTTCCATGGGGGCAAATATCTGAACATAAGCTCATAACTAGCAGTAACTTTAAGAAGATTAATTTGTAGAATGACATTGGAAATCAGGGAACTCAACAACGTTTCGGAGAAATATGATTGAAAGGTTAATGTTAGTTTAGAGAATACAATAAATCATACAATATATTAATTAAATTATATATCATGTGTTATAACTACTCACAGAAAGAATCAACCAAATAACAACAGATCAAGAACAAGAATCACAATAAACACACACAAAAGAACAACCAGATTTACCGTGGTTCACTTGCTCTATATTTGAGCAAGCTACGTTCACGTTGAACTCGAGAATCACACGAGCTCGCTGCACTAAATCACTGTCAAGATGACAGATTACACACAGCAACACAAATCCCTCAAAACCCCCTTTTCAGCCCGTAACTCACCCTAGAGATTACACTCTTGAATCCCTAAATACAGTGTATCCAATACACCCAGAATGACCTGACCCAGTCACTCAATCAACAAGTTACACGATTCACTCAACCCAAATTGAAAAACCCTAAAGACTCAAAATGATGTTTAACGAAGAAGAGAGAGATTTGCAAAAAATGACTGGATGCGTAAACTACCAAATAACTCTGCTTTTATATGGTTGACATTAGGGTTGAATTTTAGCCGTTAGATCTTTTCATCAACGCTCAGGATTGTTTCTTTCATTTAGATCAAAACAACGTCGTTCCATTTAAGTGTAAATACGACAGCGTTTCAAGCCATCATCCAACAATCTCCACCTTGATGGGTTGAAAAACAGCCCCTGTGCTAGTGCAGCTTGCCTTCAGTGAGTCCGTCATAGTTCTCTTGTTACTGTTGCTTATTGAATGGACAGTAGGTTCAAGCAATGCTTGAACTTAGCAATTGTAACAATCTTCGTGCCCATATCTGCTGGATTGTCTAGTGATCATATCTCTCACAAAGTGATAGAGAACATCTATGTGTTTGGTTTGCTCATGGTACACTGGATTCTTACTCAGATGTATTGCACTTTGACTGTCTGAAAAATGGTTGGCCTCAGTTCAGACAGGTTTGCTTCACTTGGGATCCCTTTGAGCCATATTGCCTCTTTAAATACATCAGCTACGACCATATATTCAGCCTCGGTTGTTGATAATGCAACTATAGGCTGTAATTGGGACTTTCAACTTATGTAGTTGCCCCCCAAGGTAAAGCAATATGCAGTGGTTGACTTCCTAGTGTCCCTGTCACCTGCAAAATTAGAGTCTACAAAACCATCCAGCTCAAGTGAGGCAGATCTTTTACAGTATTCCAGTCCCACATTTAAAGACCTGCTAACATACTTGAGTACCCACTTCAGAGCTGTCCAATGTTCCATACCAGGATCGAACATGAATCTACTCAGCAATGATATCACAAATGATAGGTCAGGCCCAGTGCTAATCATAACATACATCAAGGATCCAATCACATTAGCATAGGGTATGGTCTCCATTCTAATTAACCCAGCATCAGTATTAGGGCATTGAGCCTTGCTTAATGTGAAGTGGTTTGCTAAAGGCATTGAGACAGTTTTGGACCCTGACATTCCAAATTTTTCTACTAACTTATGCAGATATGAACACTGGTGAATTTTTAGTTTGCATTTACTCTTGTTTCTATCAATTTGCATGCCTAAAATCTTCCTAGCATCCCCTAGGTCTTTCATTTCAAATTCAGCATTCATTTTCTTCTTTAACTCACATATTAGAGGCTTTGATTTGCTTATTAGTAACATATCATCTATATACAGCAGTAAGTAAATAGGTATTTCATCTAAAACAGCAAAGTAGAAACAACTATCATACTTACTCCTAGTGAATCCTATACTTACTATAAAGGTGTCAAACCTCTTATACCATTGTCTAGGGGATTGCTTTAAACCATATAAGGATTTCAACAGTAGACAGACATGATTGGGGGCCCTTTTATCTATGAAACCTAAGGGTTGGCTCATGTATATCTCTTCCTCAAGATCTCCATAAAAAAATGCGGTTGTGACATCTAATTGTTCAAGCTCTAGATCCTGGTGAACTACTATGGACAGCATAAGTCTTATGGTTTTGTATTTAACTACTGGGGAAAAGACTTTATTGAAGTCTATTCCCTCTCTTTGGGTGAAACCATTGGCTACAAGTCTAGCCTTATACCTGAGGGGATCCTTATTAGTGATACCTTCCTTTAGTTTGAACAGCCACTTGCATTGTACAAGTTTCTGATCCTTAGGCTTTGGTACAAGCTTCCAGGTTCTGTTCACCTCCAAGGATTTCATTTCAGCTTCCATTGCAGCCTTCCATTGGTCCCTTTCTTTTGTCTGCATGGCTTCCTCATAAGTTTCTGGTTCTCTTCTTGTACTTCAGTACCTGCAAGGAGGGCAGTGTATATTAGATCAGCATAGGAATATCTCATGGGTGCCCTTACCTGTCTTCTGGTTCTGTCTCTTGCAAGCTGGTAGTCTTGCAAGTGTTCAGATTGAATCTCAGTGTCATCTGCTATTTCTATCTCATCCTTATGTTCTGGATCAGTTTGTCCAGTTTCTTCTCCATGTTCAGTAACAGCTCCGGTTTCTTGGCTGGTTTGAGTTTGGATAGGAAGCTCCACCTCAATTGGTGTAACTTCAGGTTGGGTGAAGGGATCATCTGTACTTGACATGTGGTCAGTTTTGGTTCTAGTTTCCTTACAAGGAAAAACTCCCTCATTGAATAACACATCTCTGCTCACAATGATTCTGACCCATAGAGTATCTATATCCCAGAGTCTATAACCTTTGGTCCCTTCTTGATACCCCAGGAATATGCACTTGGTTGACCTTGGTTCCAATTTTGCTCCTGTGGTGTGTGCATAAATCGCACACCCAAAAACTCTCAAGTGGCTTAAAGCTGGGACTCTACCTGTCCACATTTCCTCAGGGCTCTTTAAGTTTATTGCAGTAGATGAGCTTCTATTTACCAGGTAAGCAGCTGTTGTAAGAGCTTCTCCCCAAAATGAGGTGGGGAGTTTGGAGGTTATTAACAGGCACCTAACCTTATCAAGGAGGGTTCTATTCATTCGTTCTGCCACTCCATTCTGTTGTGGGGTATAGGTTACTGTCCTATGTCTTAAAACCCCTTGGTCACTACAAAACTTATCAAATTCTTGATTACAGAATTTCAGCCCATTGTCTGTTCTAAGATCCTTCACCCTTTTTCCCATTTGGTTCTCTACTGAGGTTTTCCAATCCTTGAACCTAGCTAGAGCTTGATCTTTGGTTTTCAATAAGTACACCCACACCTTGCGGCTGTAGTCATCCACCAGAGACATAAAGTAGTTATTCCCTCCATAAGATTTCACTTTTCCAGGTCCCCAAAGGTTAGAGTGAATGTATTCTAGTGATCTAGTGGCTAGGTGTGTCCCTTTGGTGAAACTATTTCTATGTTGTTTCCCTAAAACACAATTCTCACAGAATTCAAGGGATGTGGTCTTGTCCTTACCAAACTGCCCTTTATTCTTCAGAATGTCCATGCCTCTTTGACTTATGTGGCCTAATCTAAGATGCTACTTTTCTGTATTGGACAAGTAAGTAGAAGTAATCACAGAATTAAAGCAGTTTTGGGACTGATTCCCACAAAGGATATAAAGGCCATTTCTTTTCTCTCCTTTCAGTATCAATTTGTTATCCCTATATATGTTCAAGCATCCATATTCAGCTTTATAACAACATCCTGATTCATCTAAGGTACCAAGGGATATCAAGTTTCTTTTAAGTTCTGGTATGTATATAACCCTAGTTAGTTTTACCACTTTTCCAATGTTAACCCTTAGAGTCACTGTGCCTATCTCTTTTACTCTGCCTGCATTATTGTTTCCCATGTAAACAGTTTCATTTTCAACATTTTCAAATTCCTGGAACCAGTCTCTCCTAGGACTCATGTGAAAAGAATAGTCTGAGTCCAGCACCCACTCTTCACCAGTGTCATTCATTGACACAGTAAGAACTTCAGGTTCCTCTACCAGGTTTCTAGTAGTGGCTAGGTTATTCTCAGTATTCCCTTGTTTCTGCTTTTTAATTCACTCAAAACAGTTCTTTTTAATATGCCCAGTTTTATTACAAAAGATACATTTTCTGGACTCTCCTCTATGCTTGTTACTGCCCTTCCATTTTTTCTTATTTCTAGCCCCCTGATTATTCTGATTTCCCTTGCCAGTTACACTAGGTTCTGGTCTACTCTTAACAAA